CATGACTTCAACCATAGCCATATCATATATTCATTCCTGCTATTCGTGACTTCAACCACGCCAAATCATCTATTCATTCCTGGCTATTCATGACTTCAACCATGCCAAATTATCTATTCATTCCTGGCTATTCATGACTTCAACCATGCCAAATTATCTATTCATTCCTGGCTATTCATGACTTCAACCATGCCATATCATATATTCATTCCTGGCTATTCGTGACTTCAACCACGCCAAATCATCTATTCATTCCTGGCTATTCATGACTTCAACCATGCCAAATCATCTATTCATTCCTGGCTATTCGTGACTTCAACCACGCCAAATCATCTATTCATTCCTGGCTATTCAACCATGCCAAATCATCTATTCATTCCTGGCTATTCATGACTTCAACCATGCCAAATCATCTAATCATTCCTGGCTATTCATGACTTCAACCATGCCAAATTATCTATTCATTCCTGGCTATTCATGACTTCAACCATGCCAAATTATCTATTCATGACTTCAACCATGCCAAAACTTTTACCACCATAGATGTAAGACAACTGGCCTATAATTATCTGAACAATGCTTGTCACTCCACTTAAAATAGGCCATTTGTAATTATTACGAGTTTTTTGCTTTATGGGTATCGTTCAGCCAATAACCTTTCCGAAAATTTGCTCTTTTATAGTTTTTTTGTTTTCCTGATTTTTGTGGTACTTTGGTGTTCAGGTTGATTCTCGACATGCCAGAGTTTCGAATGAGTATCCAATTTATTCTTATATTGAAATTGTTGCGGTCGATTTTTTAGCATTATTTCCATCTTTATTTTACTTTATCAGTAACGTTTAAGTGGTAAACTTACGTGTGTGTTTTTTTTTTACTTTTTTCTATATTCGGTTTTAATTTCTTTGTTGCGAGGGTGGCGTCCCGATATAGAATTTTTACCAGCCATCCCATAATCGTCGTAATATTCATAACCCTTCCTTCAGCATTCCTCAAACTCAAAGGCCCAATTCTCATTTTAACGATATGCATAAATCTAGTGTATTTAAAGAAATCCTTACTTCTAGTTTTAGCATTTTCAGTACACACATTTTTATAACCCTTTTAGTTTTACATATTTTCTAAAATCCTTTTTAACCAACTCTCTTTATCTTCTCTAATCCTTCGAGTCCTCCATCTTAGTAGTTAACTTAAAACTTTTTAAATTTGTAACGTTTAACTTTCATCGTAATACTTATACTTAGTCACCTAGTTTCCCTCTGTGGAACATACTTATCTTCAATACTTAACTTATTTTTAAAAACCTTCGATATGACAAACATATCCATGTAATTGTAAGTTAGTATCCCAATCGATATTATAATTTATTAATTCCACTTTCAGGCTTACAGGGATCAAAAAACACAATGGCTTTAAGGCACGCAAACTCTGTATCATCCACGTCTACTTCTCGTAAAGTTGTCACAAGTTCATCCATAATTCTACATCCTATTCTGCTGATTTCAGTTTCTGCTGAATGGCGAGGGATGACGAAGTCATTACCAAGCAATAAAACATCCTTCAAACACAATGATCTTCTAGCTAGACCAAGTAACAAGTGTTCTCCAGCGTGAGCTCTCAAAAGCGCCACCTAAATAATTTAATAATCAAGCTTAGTTCCACACCAAAAACAAAATCTTGATATTCAAACATAACAATATCTGATTATATGTTGAAATAATAATACATATCTTATGACCCTCATCCTTTTAATTATGATATTACATTGGTTTAAGTAAATGGATCACGGCAATAATCCTTTTATTAATCTCAGGCCAGCAAACAGTAGGTGAACCCACTATTGTTATATAATAGATAAATAAAAATGCCTCTAAAATGAATTATTATACATATCCCACAAATATTAATTTAAAGTACAGACACCCTTAATTTAAAACATTTACCAAGTTTGGTACAAAAAGAAGATACAGAAGACACGGTTATTCATTATTTTTTAAGTTTTTATTTATTTATTTAAATAATAAGATAAAGATATGTTAATTAAAATGTTCTAAATAAATATGATTGTACTAAACTAATGTCAGGTTCTTTCTCAGTAATCAGATAGGCTTAAAATTATTTGTACTCACTTGGTCATCCAGTGGCAGATCAGAAAAAGATGGGATGTATTTAGCCCACTCCACAAGTATCAAAAGCTGTTGTTTCATAGATTCACATACATCCGCTATGGTGGCCACTTTCTTATTAGTATGACTAATTTCATTCTGGTGAGGTCCCAACTGCTAAACAATGAATATACCCACATTTTAACATACTTTTTCATTCATATCATATATTCATGTTCAACTAGAAGATACATAGTTTTTTTACTGAAATTGAAATGATTGAAAAGACTCGTCTCTAGCGTCATGGAAGATATTTGTTTTAACTGAAAATAGAATTTAATTTATGGAATTATCATTTATGGTTTGTTTTACCTTGTTCTGCCACAGAAATAAAATTTTAGGATAAATATCCAAAGAAGGTATTACATATATATAAAGAATTCTACATAAATTTCTCAGAACGTAGTGAACGGTAAAGACAGCTTAACATATCTTATGCAATATTTGGAAAGTTTTTATTATTTTTATAAGTGAACAAGAATTCAATGCATATTGTTTGTTATTGTATCTTCAATGCAAGAGATGCCGCCACTGTAGACGATACGTACAGTTTGTGAATTTTGTTGTTGTTTTGTTCCTAATAATTTTGAGTGAAATGTTTAATATAAGTCGCTTATTTAAAGAGAGAACCGTCTAAAAAAAAGGTGTTTGAACGAACTTATAACGCCTAAATACTTTTCTTTTATCAAATCATGGTCATTACCTTTTCTCCTAAAAATGTATATGACTCGAGATATATTATTACATGAAACAAAAATAACCTGAATGTTTAAATGTTTATCCAGCGCTCATTATGATGACCTCAATATTTTCATGTTTAGGAGGTGGAGAGGTAATAAATTTAAGCCATAAACGATTAAATTATTTTGTTTTCCAAAGATAAAACAATTATGCAATACTCACTTGTCTAGCATACATTTCGGCGTTGACCAACGCACCAAGGGATAGCCCAGTTGACTGTAATGTTTCATCATAACTTGGGCGTCTGCAGCTTATTCGGTCTCTCTCATTCTGGACCGCTGGGTGTGTGAAAATATTTTATCAGTAAGTTGTATACAAACTTGAAACACCAGAAGTGTAATTTTTTTTTTGCGTTTCTTACAAGTTTAAAGAATAAAGCTAGTTAATTAGTTTGTTTGTTTGATAAAGCTACACAAAAGACTATTTGCACGTAGCCATTCCTAATTTTGAACCTAATACACTACAGTGAAGGCAGCAAGTCAATAAGACACACTACCAACTCTTGAGCTATTCTAAACTTTTCGAATAGTGTACTTTAACCGTCATTCTTATAACGCACCAGGTCCAAAGAGCAGAGTGCAATTTTGTGGCAACGGGCCTCGAACCACGATCCCTCGGATTCACAGTCCGTGAATGCTACCAAACTAGGAAACGCCTGACCCAAATACAAGAGATAACCAAAAAATTAGTTGTTTTTTTTCAAAAATATTTATCGAATGTTTAATATTAGGGCTCGGAAATACTGTCATTGTTTGTTTTTTAATTATGCACAAAGCTACACAAGGGCTATCTGTGCTCTGCCCGCCACGGGTGTCAAAACGCGGTTTCTAGCGTTGTAAATCCGCAAACATACCGCTGTGCCACTGGGGGTCTAAATATTCTGTCATAAGAAACTATGTTGTGGTACATACACCGCTATAACAATTTATTACGGCTTGGACACGCTGGAAAAAAAATGCGTAGCTAAACTGCAAATAACGAGGGTCTTTCATGGCAAATGATTAATGTGCCAAACTGAGAATTCCAGGGTCCGTGTTTTTTCTATATATTAGAAGCTGTTTAACTGATTTTTACCAATAATTGTTCTATGAATATGCCACAAATTCATTTTATGAATGATCTTAATTTTGATTAGCTCACAAAGGAATTTACCGACGTTTGACTGCCTTGACTGCACTTTTCTGCCTCTTTGTTGGTCAAGTTTGATTTCGCAAATTTATTTATTTCAGTTAGCTATGAAAGTTGAGGTTAGGGTATACTATGGGGTGGGGGTAGTAGTACTTGTCCCGTCATTTTTGGCGGGCTGTACTTTAGTATATATATATGATTAATAGCTTATACTAAATCACTCAATGCGTACTACTGTGTGCTGAATGAGCATTAAATATAAGCTCATGTCCATTTGCAGTAAACCACCTAACACAATTTTTAACAGTAAATATTTTATATTTATATCGAAATATTTTGCCTGATTGGCGCTCTCCCGATCAAAAATCTTACTGAAACTTGAAAACCCGTGGTTAATATTCTTTACTATATTTATTTATGACACATTTGCATTTGCAAATGCAACGTTTAAATCAAATTTAAGTCCAAATGTCAGCGTTGACAATTTTTGCAACTTCTTAAAAGTTCTAGATTTATACGCAAATCAGAACCCTTAATCAATGTTCATTTCATGCGCTTTTAGAAAAGTTGTACATTTCCGAAATAAATAAATATAACAAACATAATTGCGAAAAAAAAATAATATGTCGTTGAACTCGGCTACCTGACTAACATCAAAATAATTAGAACTCTAATACTGCGTAAAAACAGACCTTGAATGTAAGAAATTGGCAAGATAATTATCATGTTTGATAAATATTCTACAGACTCTCAACATGGCTGTGGCCCACTTCTGATAAGCGATATCTAGGCTTAAGCTTATCTGTGTTTGCTATAAAACTCTGATACAAACTCTGCCCTGAAACCAACCCAGCGAGTAAATTTGTCTCTGCTTGTTTTTACAAACAACTGGAGTGTTAGCATGAACATCGAAGAATGGTAAACAATAGTTACAGAATGATTGTCGCTTAGCAACAAGATAACAAGCGTGAATAAAGTTCCAAGGTTCAGTTGGACGCAAATAGTCCTAGTTGATATTGATGATATGATTAGAAATCTGGCAGATTAACTTTTACTGGATGAATGTTATTGGAACCTTATATAGGTTATTTGGATACATATGTATATAATTCTCTTTTCATTGCCAACTATGAATCTTTAACATTATACGTGGCCAGGAAAAATCTATTTAACATACATTCACTTTACAGAAAACCTTTCGAATGATAATAAATAAAAAATCATTATATGATCTAGAATGGTGGCCTGAATATATAATCTATAAATCATATACGGAAGGTGATATAAATAATAACATTCAAGCTAGACTGAAAATAAAATAAATATTCAATGAAATTAATCAAAAAATTAAATCATACGTCATATGAAGATGAGTTAAAAATGTCATCCTTTCGAAAACAATAAAGGTAAATAACAAAGACTCGGCAAAAAGACAAAGTTACCTGTTGAATTATGAATAAGAGGAGGTTAAAAGATTCAGTTAAAATAGAAATGGGCAGTCCTTGAAAAAAAATACAATAAATGGATGTTAATAAACATCATAAAACCTAATTCTGGTGTAATAACTTAAATAAATTGATAAAATTAACAGTTCACCAAGTTAATCTTGTTCGCACCGAAACTGTTGCTGTTCAAGTAATTGATGATATAAATAGCGTTTCGATCACTAGTATGTCGTATCAAATTCGCTGACCTAAAGAGCATTGGTGTTAGGCGAAAGGCCTTATCGTTACTTTATTCTTTCACGAAGTCTGCTAGTTATTTCTACAGAACGCAAGTGAAGGTTGTAAAACTGTTGGTTTCATTAGAGATCAAGAACCTTGAGAACCACATTATGAAAGAGTTCCTAAGTGTTGATTCAACTTTTCACTTGTATGAGTTTTCCAAGGGATCATGTCTCCCTCACCCAGGTGTAGAGACTCACCATGGCAAACTGCGGTAGCAAGTAAGCGAAAAATATCACACCTCAATAATCGAGCTCGTGTGACACGCGCATTTTGTTATTCTATCGGATAATCAAACTAAAGCAAATATAGAATAACTTAACACTTTTTTTTCAACTGGTTATGTACTTGGAGGGTATATTATTTGGGGGGTGAAGTACAGAACTGGAACACAGGTGCGCTATGTCTACATCTGTATTGACGAATATATAGAAACTCTTGATGTTGGTAATTTCATTTTAAATAACGAGTCAAGTATTTTCTTCTACATGGTTTACGAAACACTTTCAGACACCTGAGCTTTTAACATGAGAGTTCACTATTTTAGAAGAATAGTTTTAAACTGTTTTGCTCATGGGAAGGGGGGAGGGGGAAAAGATACTTAGAGAAGAATGCCATTCGTTGACAAAGTCTCATGTTTCTATGGTATATGAATTTTTTTTTTTCGAAAAGTAAACCTGCAATGAAGATGTTTGCCTGTGTGGTTTTATTAGGCTTAAATATACTGGCATGTTATATGTATTTAAATCTACAGACAAAACTTATTCATTTCTTCCAGTTTCATACTCTTTTTAAGAAAGAAAGTAGATTTGTTTTTACTACTATGTGGCGCATGTTTGCAAACATTTCCAAAATTTGACCGAATTAGGCTTAAATAACTGATTATTTTATATATATTGTTGCGTCAGCGAGGTCACGTGACTCGTTCTCTCGAACCTTCGGGAATTGTCGGGAGATTACTAGATATAGGGTAGTCTGGTATATATAAGAGGGTGACAACGTGACAGAACAATAATGTGTGTGTGGATAGTGAGTAATTGAACTGCAGTCAGAAGTATTGTTGACGTTAACGTTCGTTATAGCGTTT